ATTGCCGATTTAGGTCCTTTTCGCTCGACCCCGCTCTCATCCTTGACCTCGGGGGGCCTAGGGCCCTCATTCGCCAAAACGCTCGGTTTCAATTGCGGTCGACTAGTACTACGCACTGCTTTCGCGGCTTGTCCAAAACACCTGACCTACCTCTTCGGAGGTGACTGTCACCACTTAGGCTAATAGAAAACCATTTTGAAACCAGATTGTACACTCACCTTCAACAGCGTCTCCTCCTGTGTCTCCCGCCATGTCCTTTCGCTACCTGGCGACGCCTAGCCTATTCCCAAGGTTGCGTAGGTGAGGACGGGGTGAGGCCGCTGGTCCCCGCCTTGGCTAGGTCCTGGGGGTTGATGACGAAGGTGTTGTTGGCATCCGATGTTGTCTGAAAAATCACATAATCTAGGTTTCACATACGCAAATAGGTATCCTTTGGTCACGCGCACTATATATAAGCTGAACTACTCACTGGGTGGTCGTCATCCCCCTGCCGTTCCTCTTTGTTGCCCTCGTGCACGGGAACATCAAAATAGGGCTCATCTGGCGGCAGATGTTGATCCACGGGTACACCAATCGTCCGGAGTTGGAGACCCTGACAACCGGGGCCCGGGTAGACGGCCGCGATGTCCCCGAGAAACTGCCGGAATTTTGCCGATGTTGTTGGCAACTGGGACAGGACCGGCGTCCTGTACGTGTACGTACAGTTGTAGCTCTGCAGGCTCCTGTCCGTGCGGAGCGACTTGATGGACTTCTTCAGCCAGCAATTTCTGCGCTCGATGTTCTGAGTGTGGGCCTCGGGATCATCGGCGGCGACGAATCTGTTCGGAAACTAAAAGAAAAATTTCACTTTTCATTAACGCCTGTTCATTTCTTTCACATAACACATTGCACAGCTTTATCTTCCTTACTTTCCGGGGCCCCGCTGGCTGTGATTGACGGTCTTATGTTCAGAGAAGCCCATCATCGTACAACCGCGATATTGGGCCACGCTATCAGAAACAATGATGGAACCGCAGGCGATGTATCTGATCATGTGGCTCCAGAGAACCTGTCGGCTCTTGTTGTCCACCTGAAAGAATACGAGAAACTATAACAAAACTTCCACAAAAACTAAAAAATAAAAGGAAATAATAATGCTTGGCTACTACTTACATGCCAGTTCATCACCTCTTTTGTTTCCCGACAATAGGCACCGAAGATGGTAATTTGGGTGCCTTTAGTTACGCGGCCACGGTTGTATTTTCGCCTCTGGGTGAAGGTCTTGTCGATTTGAAATAAAACATACGAATATAGAGACAGACATTTTGGCAAAGTCAGAAACGTGGGTCGATGGTCACCTTGACATGCATGTCTTCACCCCCAAGCTGGATATTTTGCTGGTGAGAGACGAAAACCTCCGCAACTTCACGGCAGTAATTGTACCAATCTACCGCTGTTTTGGGAGCCACGCTGCATTCCTCCGTGGCGACGGTGATCAGCTTCTGCTTGACCCACGAATAAATAAGCATCAGCACCTGTAAAATAGAAAACCAACAAAACACATATCATCTCAAACCATACGATCAAATTACAGAAATGCATAGCGTAACGTGACCCAGAGAAAAAGAAACCGCCGATTCTGCGATCAAGTTTCGCGAGCGACTTCAAATGTCATACCTCTTGGGCTGACAGCTGTGTCCTTTCGAAAAAGGTGTTGTGGGTGCAAGACAGGGAACCAGTGCACATGGCCGTGAAGACGGTGCTGCCAGTCCACCTCCTCATCTTCTGTTTCTGCTGTACTTTTTCACAGCGGTAGACGAATCTGAACCTGTCAGATGGAGCCGGTTCCTTCCGCATAGTGCCTAAAGATTATGACAAAAATATTGAAAAACTAGTAAATTGGAATATTGGCAGTTAATGTTTACCAATACTATTACTGTACTATTAACTCGTGTGGTCAAATATCAAAACAGGATAGCAGTTACTGTTATCCATGGTTTCAAACTGGCCATACTTCCGACGGTTCGTGGTCCAGACGGATAAAAATGTAGCTAATGTAACGAAACAAACCTAACCGAAGCGACGCCATTTTCGAACCATTAGTAACAATAACCCAGATAGCTGCAGATAGCACTCGTGTAAATGCGGGAATCGAGGAAAGGCTTTCCTCCTCCCTTGGGACATGGCAGAAAGAAACCGGTTAGGTCGGGATGTGGCACGAGCCCCATGAGATGGCAAAATTTCTGTGCCTCTTCGGTGTGGAGATAGCGAAGAAAACTGTAAGATGTTATATTATTGAATATTGTGGCGGAATTTATAACGGGAGACGCCGAAATATTGCAAGTGAACGGCATGTTCTTTTGCTTACATGTACAGTATTGGGTTTGAGGATATGAAGGCTACTACGGCTTACATAACCGCGGGAAACTGTTACGAGTGTCACATGACTTGCGGCCAACAACCCATTGGCCCGCGGAGCCTCGGGAGACGGGCCGAGTGTTGCGTGACCTGCGTCCCATTGGTCCTTGGAGTGCGCTGCATCTCTATGGCTGAAGAACGACCACGTGATTTGGCTGTCATGCGCAGTGCTGTCCTTGGGCTCGTTTGTCTCAAATATGAGTTCCGAAATGTTTCTGGTAAGAGGAGGTGCTGGACTAGTGGACAAAGGCTTGGACTACAGTCAACATAGACCCGGATTCGTGGCCTGGCCAATGTAAGACTAATAAATAATAATGTATGGTTATATTTACAGGCAATAAATAGATGGCGACTACACCATCTATTGCCTGTAAATATAAGGCAGGTGACGTGGACTGCAGGCCAGCGCGGAAGGGATAGACGGCGACGGCAAAGGCGGAGCGGGAAGCACGAGGACAGAGAGACCTAAGGAAGGTGTTCGCGAGTGCGTGTTTAAAATTTTTTTTCACGCAGTAAACTGCCTTTTGACCACGATGTCACATGACTGGATATGACGTAGGCAAATCTTCAGGGGCTTATATCTCACGAAGGGTCGCGCGTAGGGGGGTGGTTCGTTAGACATTTATTGTTCGTACGGGGAGGGCTACCCTTTGGGGGGTGGCGACCCCCTCATTTGGAGGGTAAATCTTACCCGAAATTTCATAAAATCTTATACTGTATTTTATCCTAATTACTTTTTTACAAAAACTACACATCTGCATAAGATATAAGTACAGTATATAATAAAGGAACATACCATTATAAATAATTATTATGTCAAGAATTAAGAATATTAATGATTATATCTGATGCTCAAGTAATATTTCTAAACAGTTGATACAATTGATACATTTTGTACAGTTTTTCCTTAATTATTGAAGTTAATATAGAACAATTAATAAGCTTTTTGTCCTCTTAGAAATAAGTAAAGTAGCACAATTATTCACTTTTTGTTGGGACTTATCACACACTGAGTTGGATTATAAATCCCAACAAAAAGTGAATAATTGTGCTATGAAGTTAATATGTTAAATAATAAATGAATAGTAGCTGAATAAATTCAATATGTTTATATTTAAAAAAGAAACATATGCTACAGAACAGTAGGTGATAACATACAAGGCTAGGGCATCTAAGCATGAAAAATAA